CCACCAGGAAAGCCCTCTTTCTGAACTACTGTGTAATTATTTCTTACTTGTGTGATGAACTGAACTTGCTTTGTCTTTTTTGAGGTGTATGCTCAACTTTTTAGGTAATACTATGTTTTCATGGATTAGCTCTGTGAATTTAATAATTGTTATTATTTGTTTTGATGTACCTGTTCATATGGTGACTTCCCTGGTAGCTCAGATGGTAAAACATCTGCCTACAATGCAGGAGACCCAGGTTCAATCCCTGGGTCAGGAAGATCTCCTGGAGAAGGAAATGGCAACCCACTCCAGTATTCTTGCCTGGTAAATCCCATGGACAGAGGAACCTGGTAGGCTATAGTCAGTCCTTGGGGTCGCAAAGAGTCAGACACAACTGATCTACTTCATTTCACCTGTTCATATACAAGGTCCCTGGACAAAGACCTATACTTAGTACCTGTGTGTGTGCATGCATGCTCAGTCGCATCCAGCTCTCTGCACCCCATAGACTGTAGCCCACCAGGCTCCTCTGTCCTTGGGATTTTACAAGTAGGAATACTGGCATGGGTTGCCATTTCCTTCTCCAAGGGATCTTTTCAACCTAGTGATCGGACCCATGTCTCCTGCATCTCCATAAATTCTTTACCACTGTGCCACCTGCATTATGGGGAATGCCAGGCTGGATGAAGCACAAGCTGGAATCAAGATTGCTAGGAGAAATATCAATAACCTCAGATACGCAGATGATACCACCCCATGGCAGAAAGCAAAGAAGAACTAAAGAGTCTCTTAATGAAAGTGAAAGAGGAGAGTCAAAAAATTGACTTAAAACTCAACATTCAAAGAACTTAAGGTCATGGCATCTGGTCCCATCACTTCATGGCAAATAGATGGGGAAACAATGGAAACAGTGAGAAATTTTCTTTTGGGGGGCTCTGAAATCATTGCAGAGGTGACTGTAGCCATGAAATTAAAAAACTCTTGCTCCTTGGAAGAAAAGCTATGACCAACCTAGGCAGCATATTAGAAAGCAGAGACATTACTTTGCAAACAAAGGTCCGTCTAGTCATGTTTCCAGTAGTCATGTATGGATGTGAGAGTTGGACTATAAAGAAAGCTGAGTGCCGAAGAATTGATGCTTTTGAACTGTGGTGTTGGAGAAGACTCTTGAGAGTCCCTTGGACAGCAAGGAGATCCAACCAGTCAATCCTAGAGGAAATCAGTCCTGAATATTCATTGGAAGGACTAATGCTGAAGCTGAAACTCCAATACTTTGGCCGCCTGATGCAAAGAACTGACTCATTGGAAAAGACCCTGATGCTGGGAAACACTGAAGGCGGGAGCAGAAAGGGACAACAGAGGATGAGATGGTTGGATGGCATCACTGCCTCGATGGACAGGAGTTTGAGCAACTCCAGGAGTTGGTGATGGACAGGGAAGCCTGGCGTGCTGCAGTCCATGGGTTTGCAAAGAGTCGGACACGACTGAGCGACTGAACTGAACTGTGCCACCTGGGAAGCTTTGTGCTTAGTACCTACAGGAGCTTAAAATTTTGTTTGGTGAGGTGAGATATAAGAAAATGATTTCTCACAATATGTTGACTGGTCCTTATTTGGCTTATACTTCATTGGTACAGACATAGCCATGCACACACAGACTAAGTGAAGTGAGGTGAAAGTCGCTCAGTCATATCTGACTCTTTGTGACCCCTTGGACTATACAGTCCATGGATTTCTCCATGAATTTCTCCAGGGTAGACTAACTGGGATATAATACTGAGTTTATGGTTGCTTTCAGTGTTGGTGTCATATTATCAGTGGAGAGAGAATTTTAAAAAAAGAACTAACGTAGTCACATGACCTATCTTGTGCCAGTTTTTATGTTGCAAAGTCCTGATTGAATGGGAAAGATTATTTTTGGTCTGAACCCAGCATGGCACACAGCATATATTAAATAAACATTAGTTAAATTGAATGGAAGATTGGGAAAATTGGTGTCTTTACAGGGAGCCCTATGAACAGTAAAAGCATAGGAATTGATTAGGTCAGACCCATTATTTAGCCTTACATTCTGTTGCCAATGGAGTTGTTTCTTTAAGAAATTGTGAAATGGCTTGTTTGTCCTTGTTGTTAGCTTTGTGTGTTTTAGAAACAATTTATGGATCTGTTATTTACAATTTATAAAAAAATTTATTTGAAAATAATGTGATTTCTTCTGGAATTGCTTGTTGTAATTTGTTCCATTAGTTTACTATTTGTTCTACATAAAATTTTAAATGGCAATACATTTTTTTCCCCTGAAAATTTGGAGAAGGGTATAATTTATGGCAGTTTCTAGGTATTTCTTGTATTTCGGTGAGATTTCCACAAGGGAAAAAATGAAAATATTGTCTTGGTATTTGGACCAAGCACTGGTACAGAGTTCGTCCTTTGGAATATACTGGGAAATGTATGTTGAAATCTTGTAAATTTTTACTTTAGTATACATTGCAGAAAATGATTCTGAATTATTTTCAAGAGATTAGTAGCTCACAAATTTAAAAAATTGTAAAATATATAAGTTAAAATTTTTGTGGTAAAATAAACATAAAATTGTACACTTTAATCATTGTTAAGTGTGAAGTTCTAGTGATATTAAGTATATTTATGCTGTTGTGCAACTGTCACTAACATACATCTCTAGACCTCTTTTCCTCTTATAAAATTGGAACTCTATCCCCATTAAACAGTAATTCTCCATATCTCCCTCTTCTCAGCCCCTGACCACCGCCATTCTACTTTATCTATGAATTTGACTATTCTAGGTACCTGATACAAATGCAGTCATACAGTGTATGTCTTTTTGTGGCAGGCTTGTTTGACTTAACATAGGGATTCTCCAGGCAAGAATTCTGGAGTAGGTTGCCATGCCTTCCTCCAGGGGATCATCCCAACTCAGGGATAGAAGCCAGGTCTCACACATTGCAGGTGGATTTTTTACCATCTGAGCATTGTAGCTTGTGTCAGAATGTTCTTTCTTTTTCAGGCCGAGTAGTAGTTTATTCGTGTTTATATACTACGTTTTGCTTATCCATTCATCTGTTGACAGACACTTGGATTATTTCCACCTTTTAGCTGTTGTGAATAATACTGTTAACATTCTGAAACATTTTGGTTGAATTGCTATTAAATCTTCTCAAAAAGTGATACCCACTTTCGTTTATGACAGGAGGCATAGTCCAGTTGTTAATGTTATGAGGAAATGCTTTGGAGTTGGACTTTTGTGGTTCAAATCATGACTGATTCCTCCCTGGCTATTTCACTGTGGACAGATAACCTTTTTGATGTCTATTTTTGTTCAACTTGCAAAATGCAGAGAATAATGATACCTTATATTATTTGGATTAAATTAGGTTTTATATGTATAAAGTGCTAAGAACTAATTTGAGTATTAAATTCTTTTTGATGTCAAGAATGCAAATACTTGGATTAATACTTTTAATACTTAGATTAAATAAGGCCTTTTCTTTGTGTGAGGTTTTCTGTGGGCAAAGGTTAGAATTTTTTTTTTTTTTTCAAGATAAGGTTGAATACTGAAAATTTACTGTTATAATCTTCACAGGAAAGGGTCTTGGTATCTTAATCAGTTGTACTCTATGGTTTAGCTGACTAGACAAGAACCAGAAGAATCAGAAGTTGGTCTCTGTTATTGCCATCTCTCCCTGTATCTTTATTCTGTGCCAGCAACTTTTGAAAGCCCAGTAATTGGTAGACTGCAACTTTAGACAGGCAAACCAGGTTATGCAGTCAGTGGGCACTGCAGGTTTGTGAGGTCTGATCAGTTGTGACTCAATACTTTACAGTCTCTAAGAGAAAAATGTGAACTCAAAAGTGGCTTAAATTTTAAATTAATTACTCATATCTTGAGGACTGAATGCTGTCTGCCCAAATATTTGCCTTAAATCCAATAAACTGACCCACATGAATAGTGCACTGGATTATCGTAAGTCCCCTACACCAGTGTAATGTGGATGTCACAAAGTATGCTATTTGTGAATATGACTGTACAACTTTGAATGGTTCCAATTCTAGTAAAATTGTACTGTGAACATAGTATAAAAGGTTATGTTGAACTAATATTTCCATATATATATATGTATAAATTTTAAGTCATATTCAGTACTTTTATGCCACTTAACATTTAATCAGTAAAAATGTATTCTGGTTAGATTATTGAAATCTTGTCTGCTCTTTTAGAAGGATAATCGTACCCACAGAATATTGTGAGTAGGGGCATATTTTTTTCAAGATGAATCAGTTATTTAAGGCCATGTAATCCAGAGGGGAAACATCTAAACTTTGTCCACTTAGTTTCTCTAGCATTTACTCTGTTAGCTTGACAAATACTTATTTCGTAAGTGAAAAAATATGTAATTGATCAAAGTGATGCCTCTTTCAACCTCTCTTACATTTTGTTCTGTTTTGTTTCACAGTAACTTAATGATTGATTTTTAAATCAGTGTATGTATTGTCAATAAAATAGTCATAAATTCAGTTAAGATTTAAGGTACCATTTTAATAACATGACCAGTCACCATCTTATTTTAAGTGGCTGTATTTCATGTAGTGTTTAATAGTTTTAATAAAATTTAGTACAGAATAGTCACAGAAATGCATTTTTACACAGATGTGATGATTTCCGTGTATAAAACTGTTAATTTGTAACTAATGATGAGACTACCAATCAAAGATAAGTGGTTTAGATGACTTAGTAAAAGTGTAAGGAATATTTTATTGGCTACCTCTGCCTCATGAGTTCTCTTTTTTCTCTCATGTGAGTGATCTTCGGAAACAATAGAGTAGTTATCCTTTAAAGAATATTGACTTGCTGAATTTAGCAGTAGAATGAGAAGCTGGGGTTGAGCCTAATGTACAAAGGCTAGTAAGTTGTAGTTCTCAAACTGCTTAATTTCAGGTATTGAGAAAGTTTGTCTCAGTTAAGTTGAGAGTATTTTAATTAGTTGTTTTTTTTTTCCCCAGCCAAACCGAACAGGAAGCTTACTTTTCTCTACCTAGCTAATGATGTCATTCAGAACAGCAAAAGGAAGGGGCCAGAGTTTACAAAAGATTTTGCACCAGTTATAGTGGAGGCCTTTAAGCATGTTTCCAGGTATGATAATTGTTTTGAGTACTAGGTAATCTGTTATAAATGTCTAATATGTCCTTTTGCTAAAACTTAAGACATTAAAATAAAAAAATAAGCTGTATTTCTTTGAAGTTTTCATTTGAGAAGACTTATCAGTGATGGCATTTATAAATGTGTTAAATACTTGTGTGAAGGAAAAGGTTTTGCTCAGGTGGGCGTTTGGCGGTTTCTTTTGTGACCAAAAGCAGCTACCATATTTTGAATGAAGTTCTTTAAGAATGAATAAGTGTTGAATTCAAAATTTGTGTGCTTATAATGATTAATCTTCTGACTAGTATTTCTGGAAAAACTTACCCTTTTCTGTTGTATTGCGTATAATGATTTTAACGTTTTCTGGTGTGTGGGTATATGTCACAACATTTTTCAGTGCTTTGTAAATACAGAATATTTAAAATAATCACAAGCCTATTGAAAATTTTGTTACAGAAAAATTCTGAAGGTAGAAGTCTGTGCTTTTAAAATGCTTATTTCCAGATATTATATGCAAATATTCGGTAGATTACTGGGTAAACACTGGGGTAGGCAATTACATCCATCTAATTTGTAGAATTCAGTGGTGAATGATCTGTGTTGAATGAATGATTTAAGGATGAAAATATACTCACCACATGCCCTGAAGTTTAGTCACAGTAGATGCATTTTTTAAAAGAATTACAGAGTGTGAAACACTGCTGTATGTTGCTTTCTTAAATTAATATTATTTTTCCTTCAATTTAGATACTGTCTTTTGCCATCTTTTCAGGTGCTGGTGTTTTCTTAGAATTCAGTCCAAGGCCTCCTGGTGTCATATTCTTTACTAGCCCTCTGGGTGATTTCATACATTTCATATATTTAGTTATTATCCACACCCTAAAAGCCGATAATCTTTGCTCCAGTCCAGTGTTTTTCCTTTTAGTCTTGTAGGTATATCCAGTTGCCTATTGATTTCTAGTTGTATGCTTCCACACATCTGAGACTTAACTATGTCTGTTATTGAATTCACAATATCCTTCTTCCCTGTCAAACTTGCTCCTTCTCTGAGTTCACTTTCTTGATGAATGACAACTTCATCTATCCAGATGCCCCTGTGAGAAATTAGGTGTTATCTTGAACTCTTTGTGATATCGTGATTTATAATACATCACACTGCCCTTTCTCCTTCACTCGCTTTATCCCATATAGTACATATGGTTCCCTTGGTTCTTAGACTTCCTGTCATTCCAGTTACCATAATGTCATTTCTGTATAGTTGCAATAGCCTCCAGTATTGTGTAATCCATCTAGGAAACTGTAGCCATAGTTGTAGAACTGACTATAACAGTCTTTTGTCTTTGAGTGGTTCTCATTTCTCTAGAGATCAGTTCTGAAGTCCTGAGTAAGGCTTCAGGTGTTCTCCCTGGCCCAGTCTACTTCAGACTCCTGCTCACATTTCTCCACCTCCTCACATCGCGCACTGCCCCCCCCCCCCCCCCCCCCCGCCCTGCCCCACCCCACATACACACTTTAATTTATGTGGTTTAAGTTAACTGAACTTTTAGTTCTTTCTGGCTTGGGCTTTTTTAATTTATTGCCTCTTCCTAAAATTCCATAAAATATTTATTGACCATCTACTTTGTGCTGGTCAGTGAGGATACAATAGTAAATGAAGTATAAAGTTCTGTTCTAGTGGAGCTTAAATTTCAGTGGATGACACAATAATACAAGTGAATATATCTAAAAATGTAAACAAAATAAAGAGATAAGTACTACGAAGAAACATAAAGCAGGGAAGAAGCTAGAGAGTGTGATGACTCTCAGTTATTTCATGAGGTAAGGATTGACAGTTTGGAGGAGGTAGCATTTGAGCAAAGACTGAAGGGTAGCATGAAACGGGCCATTTGACTATCTAGCAGGAAAGGATCCTGAGTAGAGAAAACTCAAGGCAGACACGATGAGATAGCCATGTGCTGGGCATATTTGAGGATCAGCAAGGAGATTTGTATTTAGGAAATGTGGTCTAAGAGGTAGCCGGGAAGTCAACATGCCCAGTTTGTGGCCCAGGGTAAATAAAGTCTTCGCTTTTTTCTTTGGTATAATTGCTGGTTCTTAGAGGACTGAGAGCAGTATGATATTTACATTAGTAGAGAATAGGATGAAGGAGTAGAGCCTGGGAAACCAATGAAAAGGCCATTACAAAAATCCAGGCAAGAGATCATAGTCGTTCAGTCTCCAGTGGGAGTGGTGAATGTGGTGGGAAGTGGTTGGGAGTGGGCTGTTTCTCACTTCTGTGTGTCCAGTCTTTAGAATTCAGAATAAATATATCATTTCCTCAAATACACTTCCTCCCATACCTTTCTTGATCTCTCTTGAATTGGGCCATGTCTCTGTTAAGCCCATCTTTAACACACTGTTCTCTTTTGTGGCTCTTACAAATAACAGCTGCCATAAAGCTCCATTTGTATCCCCAGTGTCAGAGATCGTACATTCATCAGTAAATATTTGTTAAATAAGCTTCAAAATCACCTATTAGCAGTCTTCCTTAGCTTTATGTTCAGCCCCCATTAGGTTAGAGGTACCTTCTTGATAACCCCTTGTCACCAGTACTAGCACTTTCATCATTTTTTTGTAATTTTTTTCTTAATAGGATGTCTCTTAAGTTTTTTAAGGGGAGCAGAGAGTATGTCTGTATTGGTCATTTCACCCTTGAATTGCTGATCACTTAATTAAACTCAGTAAACATTTGGGCAGATTTTTTCAGGGAACGGGTGACCATTGTATTTAAAATCACCATTATCTTTGCAATGGCACTGTGCATTTTACTGTTAATGTTTTTATCTTCTCTTTAGTGAAACTGATGAAAGTTGCAAGAAGCACCTTGGAAGAGTGCTATCTATTTGGGAAGAAAGGTCTGTTTATGAAAATGATGTGTTAGAACAACTTAAGCAAGCTCTTTGTAAGTATATAATCTTTTATCATTATCTCTTCATTGAAATGCATTCTCTCATTAAAACTTAAATTTTCTTTCAACTCAGATGGTGACAAGAAGCCTAGGAAGCGAACGTATGAGCAGATAAAAGTGGATGAGAATGAAAACTGTTCCTCTCTAGGATCTCCAAGTGAACCACCACAGGTAGCAGTTCTTCTCTGTTGAGGGAGTTATATTTCTAGTATTTCATGTAGCCATCAAGCTTTACTAATTTTGCTATTTTATTTCTGTAAATTGACTTATTATAATTCTGGGTACAGGAAACAAGCTATGTGAATAAGTCTTATTTTTCAGTTAATCACTTATGTTTAATGTGTGTTGTATATTAGGCAATTATATTTCACATAGAAAGTATTTTATTGCCAGGTGTGATTAGATCTGGTGAGATATCCACCATTTCAACAGTTTTCTTTTAAATAAAATGTACGCCTCTTTTATTGTTTGATTTAAGTATGCTAAAAATTCCATGCCTAGAGATAAACAATCTTTTTAAGTATTTTTGCTTTTAAACGTGCATGTTTAAACATTTTTAAACGTGCTTTTAAAAATGCATGTTAGAGTTAACAAGTATGTATTCATACAGTTCTATGTAACCATATGGAACCAAGTAGTTCCGTGATAAAATAAGATGAATTAGAATCATTATCTTAATACTCCATGTCCTCCCAGGTTGGTACAGTATAGCATTTTCTAACCATCAGATGATTCCAAAAAGACATTTTTACCTTAATTATGTGGACATTGAGTCTTAAAGCTTCCTCCTTCTATGTTTCAAACATATAGGAGGGACAGATAGAATTTTAAAGGAGAAAATGAAGACATAGCCATACTCTTAAAACAAGGTAAATATCTTCATGGGCTACAAACGGTACAGAAACATAACTCAGTATGTGAGCCAGAATGTGGTTCCTGCTGAGCTTTGTCTGGAAGCAGACGTGGTTTGCAGGAATCAGTATCCTCTAGAGTAATACGAATTTAAGTGCTCCATGGACTTGGAGACCTGGACTGAAACTCCCTCCAAGAACAATATTTTACTCCAGTTTTAATTAAAGGGTCTGACCCTTTCCTATTCTCCCTGATGAAAGAGTAACCTAAGTTGTACTTCTAGGAGTTCCTGATGTGACTCTTCCTAGTACTTGTTGTATACGGTGCAATTGCTTTTGGTTTTATGATGACCATTTTCTGGTTAGTTGTATTGCTTAATTCTCAATGTTCAGAATGGCAAAGATTTCTCTTTATAGGATCTAATCATTTCATTCTCCTCTCTCAGGAAGTCCTAGGCTAGTGTTGTTTTAGTTTGCTTTCTTCATGTAGGAGTGTGAAGGTATAATGAGAGTAGTTTGTAATTAAAGCATGCATACATTGTCAAAACCATAAAGCCAGGTTTCTTAGAAATCCAGAAAAATTTAGGACTTTCTAAATCTGATTAAAAATAATAATAATGTAAGTTATTTGGGGCATCATGAGAAACAAGCTTCCTTGTCATGTCATTGCTCTTAAGCTCATTTTCCTTGTAGTGGGGAAATATAACAAAATAATTTTTTTTTAATATTTGGATTTTAAAAACATAGTAATGAATTAAAAGCACACTGGGGATAGTATATTTCTTACTAGGTTCCATTAATTCTAATCATGTTTGATTACTTGCTGTATGCTAGACCCCAGTAATAACATTTTTTGTAAGGGGATAGCTTAAAGAAAAATTCAAAACTGGCTGTCAATGTCATCTAAATATGTACAGAATTAATAATATCCTACACTTTTCGTGTATGTGTGTAATTTCTTAGTGTTCCAGAATCTAGGCTTAGAGATGAAAAAAAGAAAAAAAGTAAAAGGATGTGGATGGGAATGGAGACTAGGAAAAAGAAAATTTACTCAGTTTTCTTTGGAATAATTTTAGGGATGTTATGAATTGTCAGCAAAGATTTGCCCATCCCTCCTAATTATAGCCGGTATGAAAACAGTGCAACTGAAATAGTGATGTTAAAATGTTGATTAAGCATTATATAAATATTAGTCACCAGATATATGGAACTTTGTAATATTTTATTGATCTTAGTAACAAACCATAGAATAATTGAAGGTATTATATGTGAACATACATATTCCAGAAGTGCATTTCTCTTATGCTTTAGTTACTTCATTGGAAGATAAAATTTGGGGGGGGCTCTTCTGTGTTATGATAGATGATAATTTGTATTTTCCACCCCCCCAATATCTAATTTAGTACTAGAAATTCTTCTTATGTATTAGTATAATGATAATATAATGAATATGTCATTCATAAAACTTGTATTCTCCAGGTTGAAGTTATAGCCTGCCTTCCCTCTTACCACTGTATATATTTGGTTTACAAATGAATCACATCATTTTAATAGTCAGATAGTCAGATTAAGGAATATGAAATGAATTTAAGTCTTTAATATTTGTTTAAACTTCACTAATTTTGGTTCTAAAGTTGTATAACTTTTTAGACTCTAGATCTCGTTAGAGCATTGCAAGATCTAGAAAATGCAGCTTCTGGTGATGCAGCAGTTCATCAAAGGATAGCTTCTTTGCCTGTTGAAGTTCAAGAAGTATCCCTTCTAGATAAAATAACGGGTAAGAAAAGCAAGTCTGATCTGAACTTTTCAGGGGGATAGGGTAAGGAAACAGCATATGGCCTTGTTTTTGTTGTGTAATACTTTCGTTATCCTGTGCTTTTCTTAGATAAAGAGTCTGGAGAAAGACTTTCTAAAATGGTAGAGGATGCTTGTATGTTGCTGGCAGACTACAACGGCAGGTTGGCGGCTGAAATAGATGATAGGAAGCAGCTCACTCGAATGTTAGCAGATTTTCTTCGTTGTCAAAAGGAAGCCCTTGCAGAGAAAGAACATAAATTGGAAGTGCGTAACCTTTTCCTTATTTAGTGTTTGTTTATTAAATTTCTTTTTGGTAGGAACTTTAAAATAGCTTAATATTCCTGCACATTTTGACTTTTTAGACAATGGCCCAGGTAAGCTACTCCAATTAAGCTACATTAATTGGTTTTTTACTTGAACCAAATCACTCTGCCTAAGAAAATTTAGAGATTTGAAATGAGCAAAAATTGGTTGTGTTTTAAAATTACTCATGTGATATTCCAGTAATAGTAATTCATCTTATGCGTTGAAACCCTTATCCTCAATAACAAAAATAATGGGAAAATAGCAGTTAGTATAAAGTCTGGTCTTAGCTACAATAAGTATTGTTTGGACTTAATTCCTGTTCTGAGTACATGCAGTCTTTTGGGTATACAATTAAGAAATAAAGACTTTCTGTTATCGGTATGCCAGTCCCCAGTTTCCCTATTCCTGAGCAGTTTTATAATTTTTGCTTAGGAAAGGTAGTCTTCGGGTTACTTCATTATTCCATTCTTGAATCTTAACATATTTCTCCTCCACTCTCGGGTTGGACACACCCTTAAGTAGAAGGTTATTGCTGCTTTAAATTGAATGATGATTGATATTGTTGACAAGAAGTCTGGAGGTGCAGGGGTTAAAAGAAGAAACTCAAATTTCCTTTGAGCAGAATAGCCATTGTCAGGGGTAGGGAATGAACCAGATTTGATTTTATTGAACAGAATCTTTAATCTGATTAGTTCTTGTTAAAATTGTTTGCTTCTATAGTAATTTCTTTTTCTGATAATACTTAGAATTTCTAATGTCTGGATCCCTTTTAAGACAGTTCTCTTTAAATTTCTAAGTATGTTATGATGCTGCATCTCTTAAGTTGCTTTTATTTATTAGAGTTTAGTTCTTGTTTTAGCAGTCTCTAATTGTGCCAAAGACGATTACCATTTCTACTGTGATCGCAGTTGACTAAGTACCAGCCTCAGAGCTCTCCCACCCGTCCTGTCAGCACCGTGTAGCGTTACCCCTTTTCAGTCTGCCCCTCCTCTGCTCACACATACACACTCAGAGCATAGTTGTTGGCATTTCGCTCACTTTTAGAGAGGCTGCCCAATTTTGCATAGAACAGATAGAACTTTCCAAAAAATAAGTTTGATAATTAACTTAACCAGTTTTTGACCTTGTGATGGAACTTCAGTCTTAAACACACTGTTACTTGTTTTACTGTTAGCAGAATTAAGGGTAAGTAATGACATGTAATTTTTGTCTTTAGTCTTTGGTATGGTTTCTTTAACTTCTATTGAGCTTCTGTTGCAGGTATTGGACATGGGCGTATCTTCTAACGATGTCATGAACCTTAGCATATTCTTCCTGCTAAAAATAAATATCAAACTCCAAAGCCTGAATTGTCTCATGTTTTTGAAAATTGAAGACCGAAACTTCATTATTCCACTTCATACTGCTTTCCCACTTAAACTGGTTATATACCACTGGTTACAAAAATAGCATTTGTCTTTGAAATGTATAGAAACATGATCAGATACCATCCGACCTAACCTCCTCTTATCCCAGTGCCTTCCAGGAAGCCAGATTTCATGATTGAAAATTACAGGTAGTGAGGCTGATGATAATAATGGCAGTGAAATTTACCATATGTCAGGTACTATTCTAAGCACTTCACGTTTATCAACTGATTTAATCCTGTGTAGCAGGAAACATTATTATATGAATTTTATAAATAAAGGAAATGGAAGGAGATTAAATAATTTGTTCAAGGTCATAAAGAGGTAGTGAATTGTTCAGAACCGAAGCAGTCTGCCTCCAGAATGAAAATTTTGCTTCCAGTTTTTGCTTCAATGTAAGATTATAGCAGCAGCTAAAGCCATATCTCTGTTTCCTCACTCTTCAGAGATAGTCACTTTTCTCAAAATAAGGTGTTCTAAGAACTTTTTTGTTGTGTTTTAGAATGACTAGATTTTTGTTATCATAAAACACCTAAATTGTGTCAGATGCTTCTTACAAGTAAAAAATATTTAGATTTCTAATAAGCTAGGAAGTTGTTCCAGAGCACTCTTTGTAAATTATCATTTATAACTAGGTGGTTGTTTTGTCACAAGATGTGAAAATAATTTGAGTTTTTTAGACATGTTTTGTGCCAAATAGGTGGCAGCCCTTTGAAGTTGAGACAGAGGTCAGCTCATATCAGCTGTGATAGCATCACATAATTTTCTCTTGTCAGGCATCCTTGAACATTAAGTGTGATTGACCAGGTATTGACATGTCCTTAATTGCTCTTAAAAAGAAGGAGGGATATAAATAAAGTATCGGTTCAGGAATTCGCTATTTCATATTTCTTAAGGAAACCAGTATTAAAACATTTGTAATGAATGAAAACATGAAGTGTTTTAAAAATTTTTTGAAAATTATTAATCACTTTTTAGACTTGTAACTATAGCTGGTTATTAAAGCAGGTAACTTTTCTTTTCATGATACAGTTGGTATAAAAAACAGGCTTTTAAAAAATACCTATTTATCTCATGATACTTTGATCAATTTTAAATTGGTAGAATTCCATAGAAAATTGGAAATCATGGTTTGATGGCTCTTAAAATGCGAAATCATACACTATGGTTGTGATAAAAATAAATAAATAAATAAATTTAAAAAAAAAATAAACAAAATGCAGAAAATTGTTTCCGTTCTAAACTAATCTAATCAATTATCATCCCATCATTTAACTCTCACAAAGCAATTAACTGTAAGAGCTAAATTCTTTTCTTTACAACATCTACAATTTAGATTTTTTCCCCCTTTTTTGACAGTTTTATTGAGGTTTGTGCTCAGACCCTCAGTCATGTCCAACTCTTTGCAACCTCATGGACTGTAGCCCTCCAGACTCCTCTATTGATGGGATTCTCCTAGCAAGAATACTAGAATTTTATTGAGACTTAACTGATACAAAAAGAAAATTGCACATGTTAAATTGATACAGTTTGATGAGTTTGAGACATGCATACACCCATGATACAACTGCCACAATCAAGGTAATAAACATGTCCATTACCTCCAAAAAAAAAAAAAAAAAGGCGAAATCAAATCATAGTTCCAAGTTTTAGAAGTCAGGGTGGGAAAGCTATCAGGAAAGTGTTTATCCTTTGCAGTCTTTTATCAGTATATTCAGATTTACCTGATTTTTAAAAATGAGGACATAATATTCATGGTATGCATATTGTTTGTTTAAGTCTGTCCCTCATGGTGTCAGATTGTACCCATTGAGGTGTTTTTATTAGTTTTGTGCGTTACAGGTAGTATTACAGAGGATATCCTGTTGATGCAGGTTTATTTAGTTGTGCTAGTATATATCTGTAGGATTGAGTCTCAGAAGTAGAATAGAATAGCTGGGTCAAGAAGAATGACTGGTTAAATGTTGATTTTGCTTTTTTCAACTCTTTGAAGTGGGAGTGCATCTTTTCCTGCACGACCTCACCCAATACTGAAGTCAGTGATCTTTGAAATTTTTGCCTATCTGGTGCAAAATCAGATGGTCCAGTGGTTAAGACTTAGCCTTCAGTGCAGGGGGTGTGTGTTCACTCCCCAGTCAGGGAAATTTAAGATCTCACATGCCTCCTGGCCAAAAAACCAAAACAGAAAACAGAAGCAATATTGTAACAAATTCAATAAAAACTTTAAAAATGAATCATATAAAAATATTACATTTTTTTGCATATCTGATAGGTTAAAAAAATTTTTGTTTGTTTGCTTAGGTTGGTCGTTTAAAAATATTTGTTAGCCACTTCATTTCTGCTGCAAATTTTCTGTATCTCTTTAACTTTGGTTCTAGGTTTATGGTTCCGTGACAAATTACTATTTGTCTTTGCCTTTATAAATTCTAGGTTTTTTGAATATAGTTAGGATTGCCTTCTCAATTCATAATTACAAAAATACTATACAAGTTTTCTGTAGTTTTTTCCCTAATAATTTTATCCATGAGGACTTTTTGTTCATGATATATATGATATAGGGATATAACTAACTGTTTGAAAGTGATAGTAAATGTCCCCTTGTCATTGATTAATGACTAGTCATTTAATAATAGTCTATTTTGCTATATTGTAAAATATAATTTTGATCATATTTCTGTATATACATGTGTATTTGTGAATGTAGTCATTTTTCTATTCTACTGGCCTATTTTACACACATTTAATTACTTGGTAGATTTTTGTTTTTATTACTTTTTGTTATTTTTCTTGTCTGATTTTTTCTAATGATTATTGTGCTTATGAATCTTCCCTCTTACTGTCTTATTTGTATTTGCCTTTATTTATAATTAATATTTTAAATGACATCTTCCTAAGTAGACATGTCTTAATTTACTTGGTGTTTTCAAGAGTGCTTGCTTTTATAAAATTGTTTGCTTTCCAAAAAGTTTAATTTCCATTTTTTTAAAATGCATAAAGGTAAATTTTGTTTTGCTTGAAACATTTAGTGATTAGAAATGCTTATATCTCCCAATATAGGAACTAAGAATATTTTAATATTTATATAGCACTGAAGATTCAGAATTAAAGATTTTTAAATGCTACAGGTGTTTGCATGTAGCTTTTCGATTGTTATTTATTGATTTATCAAATTACAATAGTCATTCAGGGCATAGTAGTAAGAATATGGAGAACTGCTTATGGAATCATTAGTTATTTCTTTATACTTTGTCTTTCCATTGAAATCATACTGATTTCATTAAAATTTAAAATTAATAAGATGGAGCTATATGCATTTTTTTAAAGAAGCAAATGTTACTAGTGTCCTAATTATTTTTTGAGGTTGAAATATCATTAAGTTTAAAACTTTGCTATGGTTAATATATCCATTTTTCAAGGATTATGTAATCTTTTAAATATTTTTAATAACTATTCCAGTAAGCTGTTTTCATCATGGGAGAAAAGCTATATAAGCAAAAGGCTTATTAGCCGTATGTATTGATTGGGTCCATGTATTTTGCCTGTTATCCTTTT